TGTGTTGCATTGTTTGACTCCAGGCAAGATATTTTAGGAAGGGTATCAACAACTCAGAGAGGGCCTGGGAAAGATTCACCAGAATAGTACCAAGGATGAGGGACTTGAGTTACTTGGAGAAGCTGACAGCATTCTCTTTACGACATAGAAATTTAAGAGGAAGTATAGCTGAGTTATTCAACACCATGAACAACTAAGATAATTAATTAAGGAGAAACTTTAGGCATAGAGCCAGTAACTAGAGAATCCAGATTCACACAGAAATCAGGGACAGCATTAGATCTTTTGCTGTGACATGATCTGGAATGCACTGACTGAAAGAGACATGTGAAGAGATGCAAAATATTTGAATATTCCACATATACAGACACACATGTACGTAAACCTGATGGGGTAACATTAGGAGGGCAACAGGGAAAGAACAGAGGTAATTGGACAAGTTGAGTCAGGCCATTAAAAAGCCAGTAAAGGACTGACATCATCCTGTACCATATACATTTTTTCATCAGACTGCTCAGAGTTGTTATTGCACACCTCTGCAGCAAATAGAACTTGAACACAGGTCTCCTGGATCAGAGGTAGAGACACAACTACCGCACCACGAGAACCCTTCGTCTTGTTCTGTATCACTGCAAACTTTTTATAATCACTTGGTTATGGGATGTGACATCAATGGTGATGCCAGAATTTATTGTACATCATTAATTGCCCACCATCCGTAATTGCCCTGGAGAAAGTGATGGTGAAATTCCTTCTTGAACAACTGCAGTCATTGGATTGTAAGAACATCCACAATTCTGCTAGGATGGTAGCTTCAGGATTTTGATCCAGCAGCAATGAAGGAATGATGATGTATTTCAAAGTCAAAATGATGAGTGACTTGGAGGGGAACTTGCACATGATGGTGTTTGCATGCATCTGTTGCCTTTGCTGTCTTAGAGGTAGTGGTTGTGGGTTTGTGAGGTGCTGTTGAATGAGCCTTGGTGAATTTCTGCAGTGCATCTTGTTGATGCTACACAGGGCTACTACTTAGCATCAGTGATGGAGGGAGTGAATGTTAAAGGTGATGGATGTGGTGCCAGTTAAGCTTCTTGAGTATTATTGGAGCTGCACCCAAGTGCAGTCAAGTGGGGAGTATTCCATTACACTCCTGAGTTATGCCGTAGGGATGGTGCACATGCTTCAGGGAGTCAGGAGGTGAGTTAGAATGGCTACAGCATAGAAGCAGGCCATTTGGCTCATTGAATCCACACCAATCCTCTGAAGACCATCCCACCCAGACCCACCCCCTACCCTATCCCTGTAACACTGCATTTCCTATGGCTAATCCACCCATCCTACATATCCCTGGACACTACGGGCAATTTAGCATGGCCAATCTATCTAACCTGTATGTCTTTGGATAGTGGGAGGAAATGGGAGCGCCTGGAGGAAACCCACACAGACACGGGTGAGAATGTGCAATCTCCATACAGAGAGTCACTGGAGGGTGGACTTGAACCCGGGTCACTGGTGCTGTGAGGCAGCAGTGTCAGCCACTGTGCCGCCCTAAAAGTTATTCACCACAAAAAGAATGGATAAATGAATCAGTGAATTAAATTGTTGTCCTTTGAAGGGAAAAGGACAGTCCGTGTTCCTGTACTGAGTCTCCCTTAATGATCCATATTAGGTAATGGCAGAAGATGGGAATGTATTTGCTTGCAGTTGAAAGAAAAACACTTAGTATCGAAGTTCACTCAGGGCGAGGTATTGGGACTGTCAGGAATGAATAAAACCAGTGCTCAGCAAGACGTCACACCTTCAGCAGATGGGAGAAAATGAGAAAAATACAATTACAATGGAAAATATGATAGGAATAATTGGAGACACTTAGGGCAAAACAGAGAAAGGTCACAGTGTGGTCTACAATTACCCAGCATGAAAGCAGTGTAACTGAGACTTGCACAGAAAAACCTCCCTGTGGATTGTCATTTGTTAGTTCTGATTTGCCTGTAACAGAATAGCTTTCATATCTCAGTTTTGAGATCTGGAAGTTTAGAGATGAGTTGAGAACTAATCAGGCCCATTTCTTCTTCACTCCACACAAATGACTCTTAATGAGCATGAGGATTGCCAAGTAAAATTTGAACAAAATGAATCTGATGCCAAAAAAACTCTAATGGCTCTTGTTAAGGGAAAAGTGAAGCATCGTCTAAGACAATTTATACATTGTGAAGCATTTACAAGAGGTATTTTGTAATGGTGAATGATTGTCCTCAATTGAGCTGTCTGGAGATGGTGTGGTGAGTCGAACTATGTTGTATGTTTTACAGGAAATTCTTTCTCAAACATCCAAATATTTTTATGTCTTTCACGATTTTAATTTTTTAGGTAATGAGGTTAGAGATTTCCGAAGCAGCCCTAAGCATTAGTGCTGTAAACCAACATTCAGTAACCACTTAGCTTTCACCTGTCTCGCTGACTTCACTTCTGACACTTCCAGCACCACTACAGATTTATGTTTACTTAAGCTTCCAGTCAGGAAAACAACAGTCAGGAGCAACACTGTTTTCATGCTCCATCTGAACTGATCTCTTTTAAAGGCAAAGGGCAGCCAAACACTTCCCTCAATCCCCTCGACACCCACCAAGGTGTTCAGCTTGAAAATAAATCCTTTGTGTTTGGAAATGCAGGACCAGCCACGTGGTGTTTGCCTGCGAAAATGTTATCACCAGTTTCATCAGTGTGATGGAGTGGCAGTATTTTGCATTACTGAACTGCCCTTTCATTCAGAAGCTTCAACAAATAGTCATATTTGAAGAGTTGAGTCACTGGTCCAGTCTGGTGTTCTGAATTGTACGGAGCTCAGTTCAAGGTAGAATCAAGGGATAGTCAGAATAAGTAGCATGAATTCTCAGGAGCTGATCTCAGTGTGCTTGGGTATACATCACTGTTATTAACTACTATAAATATTACCAGAAGGACGTAGAGATCTTTTAAAAGGCGCAAATCAGATTTGAAGGATGATATCAGAAACAAGAGATTGTAGCCATCAGGAAAAGAGGTTTTGTTTCCCCTATAGAGAGGCAAGAGTTTAGAGATGGCCTGTGAAAGGCTAACAAATTTAGGTAAAACAGAGAAGATGATTCCACATGTGGACAAGATCAATAGGGAATTCAGGAGAAATATCCATACCCAGAGAGAGGTTAGAATGTGCAATTTGCTATCATGTGGAGTAGTTGAAGGAATATCAGAGATGGATTTAATAGGAATCTGGTCAAACGAATGTGGGCGAAAGGAAAAGAAGATCATGCTGCTTACGTGAGGGGTGGCACAGTGGTTCAGTTTTTAACGCTGCTACCTCACAGTGCCAGAGACCTGGGTTTGATTCTAGCCTCCGGCGACTGACTGTAGGAAGCTTGCACATTCTCCCCATGTCTGTGTAGGTTTTCTCTCACAGTCCAAAGATGTGCAGATTAGGTGGATTGGTCATGCTAAATTGTCCATAGTATCTACAGATGGCTGGATTAGCCATAAGAACAAAAGCAGGGTTAAGGGGATTGGTAAGGGTGGTGGGTCTGGGTGGGATGGTCTTCAGAGGGATGGTTTGGACGCGATGGGGCAAATGGCCTGCTTCCACACTGTAGAGATTCTATAATTTCCAGATGAAGTGAAGTGAGAGGACATGTGTGTAGCATAAATACAGCTTGGGCCAGTCGGCCAGAATGACCTGTTTCTGTGTCGAATTTTCTGTGGAGTTCTATGTAATAGGCCGTGAGACTTACTGCATTATTGCCCACCTGCTGACTGAATGCCTTTCTTGATTTTTATGTTGCACAATGTTAAAGGAAAAATGTTTCTGAGCAGGTTAGATGTTAGTGCCTCCTCACAGCCTTGAAACTGTGTGTTTATAAATCACTTTTCTTGAATTGAATGCAAAAAAAACAAAAAAAAACTCATTTCCTTTATTTCTGCCTTCCTCGAGCAGGGGTTTTAAGTGTTGGTTGAAAAAACTCTATTTATTCAAGGCCTTCTGTATCGCATGTAGCCTGAAGATAAGGCTGAAGACTGAAAATCAGACATAAAGAAACAGAGAATGCCATAAAACATGCAATAGATCTCTCACCATCTAGGGACAAAGGAAAACAGAGTTAACATTTCAGGCCAATGAGGAAACATCTGTGCTGTTGGTGTAAATGGTGACATTCTTACATTCTAAGTCAAAAGTTTTGACCCCTGAACAGAGAAGGTGAAGAGGATTTTGACAGAAGCATTCAAAATCATGAACAGTTTTGACAAAATAGTTCAGGAGAAATTGTTGCTGTAGAACAGGTAACTGGAGTCTTCAGTTTTACACTTGATCACATCGGTGAGGGTGCTGAGGGAACTCTTGGGGATTGAGAAGTGCCACTTTTTGGGTGAGTTATTAGAACTAGCACACATGTCTTAATCTAAAGTAGGGCTGCAGGTCCTGCCAGTCCTCAGTTCTAGGCATTTCCTGGATAATTTCAATTTATAATCAGGGCAAGTAACTAATTTGGCAACAAAAATAGCAAAAAGACATTTGTGGTGGTTTTGGGACATACTCTTGATGCCCAGAATTGCAGCTGTTGTTTTGACACTTTCTATTTTCTGCCTGCTAGTCCTCATGTACATACTATCATGAAGGTTAGACAGGTAACCGAGTCTCAAGTTGCCTGGTTTTTGACTTTGTGCCACAGTCCAGCTGATTCCACCTGAGAATTGTATGGAGTGGCTATGATGTGGGTAAGACCAGAATGTTGAATGTAAGGGGTTTGTCAGTGTGCTGAAAGCTGCGGAAATTCCCTTGTCCTTTCAGCAGCTTTTGGGCTGCCAGTAGTGAAAGGCCCAGTATCTGATGTGGTGCAATCCTGACAGGTCACCAAGAGGAACATCTCCTGCATTTGCATTTCTCCGCTGGCAAATTCCAGTGAATCCAGTTTGAATTAATTTTAGTTTTCCCCCAGTAACCATTGCCATGATGTTTGATGTTTTTACAGTTGCTGGGACTACTCATCTTGTGTATCGGCATTTACGCAGAAGTGGAAAGACAGCGGAACAAGACAATGGATGGCTTCTTTATTGCTCCAGCCATCATCCTGTTACTGCTGGGTCTGGGCATGTTCACCGTTTCCTTTGCTGGCATGATTGGAGCTCTGCGAGATAACGAACTGCTGCTTCAAGTGGTGAGCTGCTTGTTTGAAATCGAAATGTTTTTTGAGGACATGAGTCTGGCAGGTAAAGGGAAGAAGGTACCAACATTTGCTGGCTGTGTCCAGCAAGCTCGCCAGAAAGCCCATAACTTTTGCATTTCTGCCGTTGACTCCCAGGTGGTTCCTGCAGGGCATGGTGAAATGGCAGAATTGAGCCAGGATGTGTTCAGGAGGGTGGAGAAACTATACTGTGACCTGGAGGAGGCAGAGAGTGAGGGATGATCAGGGACGGAATATTGGGAAGAAAGGTGATTGGGAGGACTCCATTGTGGTGGTGGGCAAATTCATTTCTCCAACAGTGGGATGAAATGTTTTTATTTGTGTTCTCTGCATTTGAAAGGTGGCTTGGCTTCACTGATAGTAATCAACATGATGCATTTTTGCATGCATTTGCATGCTCATGAAAAAAACAGCCTGCCAGAATTAAGTTCTCCATCCCAAAAACATTATCAGTGAGTGACAAATACAGGCTTTCAGAAACCTGATTGTGATACATGGTGGAAAGCGAACTCATCATCCCATTGTTGATTCTGGTGAGTATCTGCCGCTTTTGCCTGTTGATGTTGTGTTTGTCAAGGCCACGTCATTGCTTCGATGGGTTGTGAGGAGCCCAGAGGGACATAGTGCATGCAGGTTGTCAAACCATGGCAAGGAGCTTGGCCCAGGGATACAGTGTGACTGGGAGTGGCATGAGGGGAAAAAGTCACCAAGACTGGAAATAATGAGTAATGTCCAAAGCGTGCTTCCAGACAAAGCCCTGAGAGAAAATCAGTGA